TATAATGTTTTTTTTGTGCAATATTATGGTAATTAAAAAAACGATTATATAGAGAACATCATAATAATGTGTTAGTATGTATTTTTTTGAAAAAATTTGTACTTGTCATCTCTTCACATATATCATAAAAGCAATTCACCTATCTTAATTTAGGATTCTAAGTCTCGGGGAGGAATTGATATGAGGTTATTTTCCAGTGATACAAGATAAAAAAAATCTACTATATACGAATAATTTGTGTAAAACCACTAACAAGTTTATATAACAAAGAGAGAAAAAGGATTTTCTTCCAGAAAAGGGAGTCCTGCACTCCACACAATATTTACTGGATACCTCACTGTTTCTTTAATCTGTTGTCGTCTTAGGAAAGAGAAGAAAAAATTGGAATGTCACTGGCGAAATGAAACGATGAAGGCTTCTTATAGCTACAAAACTTGCAAAAGTTTACAAGGATACTGAAGAAGTGACTTAATTATCCCTATTTACCGAAATTCCCCCAAACCGGGACCGCTGTCACCAGTGTAAAAGAATACATTGGGACAGATTTACGAGAAGTGGAGAGGGATTAAGGGGATTAAGGACTTCTATGTATAGGGTCCTGTAAAGAATGGAGTTATGCGGCTTACTTTTGAAGCCGGAGATATGCATACGCAGAATCTCGTGTTCTCCTAGTCTCTAGTGAGTCGGACGAAAGGAACATTAAAAAAAAAACCAAATTAGAGTCAACAATATATTGAATCTACTCTGAAGTTACTAATACAATCGTTAACACGTTATTCTGCGCGTCGGGAGACGATGTAGCAAGATAGTGAAGAGTTGACAGAGGTACTAATATAATTACACAGGTTAGTATAAGAAATCTGTTACCTTATGTGTATATTAGGGCTTCAACCACGACACGTTCAGTCTTCTGGAACTCGGTCAGTTGAGGGTTGCGAACTTTCGAGCTGCCACAATAACCGGACTACACGCGATACTATGTCAGATGATACGCGGCCCCCGGAGAATCACCGATTGTCTCGTACTGTTCGCGTACGGGACGCTGTCGCGTCCCAGTCACGGTGGCCCGCTAATTACTGACTGCCCACTACTAGCTACTCGTACCCGACGCTACCGCGTCGAGAGTATCCGGGGCGGCAATTGATGCCTGGACGCCCGCCGTCTCACTACTACTGACTGACTACTGACTTGGCTGTCCCCGTTTTCCAGTTTTTTATCGAGCTCATGTTTTCAATACCGGTTATAGTGCCAAGTCGTGTTTTCGTTGAATTGTGGGTCCTATATTGCATTACAATAACAGTTTTTTTGTTTGACGTGCTTTTCTATGTTTAAACAATTAACAAACAATGCAATAACTAGGTCAATTTCTTTGTGTGATTTAAAATGCAAGTTTTACTGTAATAATTATCCCTTATTTGATTTGGAATATATAATAATTATCTCGAATAATTATTATCTTTTTCTATGCTACTTCCTTTATGCCAACTTCTCACTCACTTGCTACGCTCACATTACACTGGTTCAAACTGCATTTTTGTAATAGCACTGTAAGTCTAAAGAGGGCCCCTTGAGTCCCCAACGCTTGACGGAACCGGAATAGTTAAGTTTTGTTCGCATGTTATATATTATTCGGTGGTGTATAATTTCGATGGTGATCAAGATCGTTTTAAGAGCATGGATCATTAGGTTATTTAATCTAAAATCAACACTTTTTTGGTCCCATTTTTTTTAAGTATTCCCCAAAGGAATTGAGTATTTTGGGTATTTGGGATTCCAACCAGTCTTGCGAGAGGGTTGCAGTTTCATGTGCTTTGTTAAATATTTTATTTATTCTAGCTGCTGCAGACTACATTTTTTAAAGCTTCAACTAAAATCTATTTGTGCCTTTAGTGTTTTAAACCTTTATTTATTAGAAATCTTGATAAAATTTGGCGTCGTTACTTCTGAAGTAATTATTTCTGTGGCATTTTTCTTCTAATACAGATGGGCGAATTGAATTTATCTCGGATTTAATTTATTAAATTCTGAAACAATGTTATTAAAACTTTCTAATATTGAACGCATTTTAAATATAGTATATTTAATAGTCAACAGAACTTAAATAAAATGAGAAAAAGCCTTTTTAAGGCATTATAAAGCAGTGGTCAGACAATTGTTTTAACACTGTTAATATTTTATTGATTTTAATTGCCATTGACGTACATGTCGCTTTCAGTATTATTTCAGAGTATTAGAAACACATCAGCTGGTAGTATAAGGTGGGTGATATTTGTAGCAAGTGAGTATAATCGTTGGTAACAATCACTTAAGCATAAATGACTAACAAATGTCAAATTTTATTTCAGAATTTTTTTAAAAACGATTTTCGGATTGAAAATCGTAACATCAAAATAAAATAAAAAATGGAATCGTCATTACAATTGATTGTGGCTTAATCCCATTCAAAAATATCAGTGAGTAAAAAATAATTCTGTTTTGATCTGAGTATTCACTGTGTTCCATATCATTTAAGATTTATTCCCATCAACTAAAAGAAGCACCAGTTTCTGAACATCTATCCAGGCATTTAACTCCATTCATATATTCAACAAATACATTATGTTTCATCCAGGATCAGAATCCACGTATCTGGAATACTGCCTACAATAGCACATAGAGGTCGCATGTATGGAAATACTAGTTGTGGGCATAACATCCACTGACTGTAAAGACAATTATCACCTTAACAATTGTTTCAATTGTGATTAGAATTTGGCACAGCTTTATTAATTGGTTCTGTAGTCATTTTTCTTCTTAGGGTAGCATTTTTTATTGGGATATTTATCTTCTAATGGGTTTGTATAGTTACAAAATTTAGTTATTGTCTTAATAACCCTTCTTCGACAAAATTTGTCTTCTCTTAAAAAAGTATACCTAAGCATTGACTATTAAATACTAGTAGTCAGTCGTCTTTGAAATAAACATAAAATCGTGGATGAATTCTAGTTGCCAGAAAAGTGGTATTATCTACAAATACAAAATGAGACGTAAATATTATGTTCATAAACAACAGAAAAAATATTATAAGTGTTGTTTTACTCAGTAGTCAACCGCTGTGTCTAGTTCCTGGATCTTATATATTATAAACAAACCCAGTTTTCAGCCTCCATAAATTCTAACTGAAACATATTATCCTAAAAAACATGTTGTATGTTGTTTTATCGAATCCAACCATTCTATTACTCAAAAAAATTTTATGTCATCTGCCCACTATTTTTGAAATGTTGATAGACATTTCAGGTATACCTGAAACTTTACTATTTGCTGTAAAAAATGGTTTCCAGTTTAACAACTAGATGGAATTATTTTTATATCTGAAAAGTTGGTGCCAAAGCACTGGCTAGTGGAAAACATTCTTTGTTGCAGATTTATTTTAAATATAGGTATTTAATATGTAAACGATTTGTGGTTGACTACTGGCACAGTAGTAAGGAAGTTTGTTCAGTACATGCGTTTTATTCAAAATAATTTTTTTGTTGTTTTTATATTTTGTGACAAATTCATTTTAATAAAGTATATTAATAAACTACTATGCTTTGGTTTTCTTAGCTTTTAATATTGTTTATCTGGGATACACCTTCAGATACAATTTCTTCAGTATATTTTCTTATATCTGCAGAAAGAACTAGTGTATCTATTATGTTGATGGGATGTAAATATTTACAGTAAAATTTTAATGTAATCTTGCTTATTAGTTAAATTAGAAACTTATATTCAAGTTTTTATAACTTTAATCCAAGAAATTAGGACCTAATTTTAAGAGCTAAAATTTGTTTTCTGTAATTCCTGAAACTAACAATAATAAACTAATATTCCTATGCATGGACAAACAATCACAGGCATTTGAAACGCATGTTGGGGTGCGACAGGGAGATGCGTTGGTGTGTCTCCTTTTTAACATAGCTCTGGAAAAGTCGGTCAGAAATGCCCAAATAGACAACAAAGGAAACATTTTTAATAAACCATTCCAACTTTTGGCATATGCAGACGATGTTGACCTAGTTGCCCGCTCAATACGCAAACTAGAAGAAATGTATACCACCTTGTCAAATGCCTAAAAAATATGGGCCTGTAAGTAAATGAGAAAACTAAAATAATGGCATCAACACCCAACTATAGTGTCAGAAATATCAGCCACCAATTCACTGTTGATAACTCTACTTTTGAAGTGGTGGACAAATTCACATAGCCTCTCTGATCACCAAGGAGAACGTCATGACGGAAGAAATCAAGAGAAGAATAATCCTAGCAAACAAATGCTATTTTGGATTGATTAGACATATGAGAAGCAGAAACTTAAGCCAAAAAAACAAAAATAACCATATATCTTTATACAACCAGTGTTGACATGGATCGGAGACATGGACCATTTCCAAGGCAGATGAAAACCTCCTGCTTATATTTGAACGAAGGATCCTGAGAAGAATATTCGGTGGCATATGTGAAATGGTGTTTGGGAAGGAGGTACAACTATGAGATATATCACAGATATAAATACATATTTGGTAGTAAAGACGTAGTATCTCTCATAAAAATAGAAGACTAAGATGGGGCAGGACATCTGGTAAGATCACAGCACAACAACTCTCCTAGAAGAATCCTTATGTCACAACCTGTGGGAAGTAGAAGTAGGGATAGGCCAAAACTCAGATGGAGGGATGGTAGAAAAATAGGCGCAGCAAACTGGCAACAGTTGGCAATGGATAGAACTGACTGGCGTAATAGACTTGGTAAGGTCGAGGCTCTTTTATAGGGCTGTAGCACCAATGATGATGATGATTCCTATGCATGTGCATATGGGTATAGTTGATGTACATGATATATAATGATGCACAGTTTATTATAATGTATTTTAAATGAACATATATTAACTATTTATGATATTAAGATGTAAAATTATATTGCCAACTTCTCCATATATTATTTCTATTAATGAACAAATTAAAATGTTACTCTTTTAGGATATGACTGGTGGAGTCTTTGAAAACAATTTGCAGTCTTTAAATCTTCAAGAAGGTCTAGAATATGTAATATTCAGTTAGACTAAAAATAATGTAGTGTCATAAATGTTGGTCAGATCTTTCAAACTTAAAAAAATTCCAGTAATCACTTATATTTATCTCGACACCTACGTAAAGTATCGTAACCAACAAATTTTGGTTTTTCACTTTTTTTCATTTGGATACTTCTACATGTAAACTAACGTCTGCTATAATTAACATTTCAATATTTCTAATAGAAGGCCTCCATAATTAGAATGTAAAATGTTGTATGTTTACTTTCGTCCAAGAATACAATCGTATGTTCTACTACCGATATTATACGGGTAACGGGCGCACGGGGCATGATGGTGTTCTTGTAACTATAAGTAACGACAGAGTACTGGTTGAAGAGACAAGCTCGTCGCTTGGAAAATTAATTCGAGCATTCTTGTTATTTCTACAGAGGAAGATAACACACCCATTTCACCTCCAGAGTGTACTAAAAGCCATTTCATCTACTACTGATCTACTATCAATACCCCGATTTCTTCATGAAATGTTCTAGAAAACGAAAAAAGGTTTCTCGAAAGGATGTACGTAACATTACCTCGACATCTTGCATCTTAGATTGATAATACGAGAAAGAGACTGAAAAATACAGGTAAATCATATAAAAGTCGTGATGGTACAACCAGGTTTGTGAAATCATTAAACCTGATGTGTCCAGAAAATTGTAGACAAAAATGTTTTCCAAAAATTAATACCGATGAAAGGATTTCCATTTTCAATAAATTTTAGAATTTAGGTAACATGAAAAAGCAATGGGGTTTTGTAGCTTACTTAGTGCTAAAAAAACGAAGGGTTTTTACTGATACAGTATCAAGGCATAATTTTACTCTTATTTATCGACTGAAAGTGAAGAGAGGAGATAAGGACGAATTTATATCTCTTTCTGAAAAGACATTTCTAAATACATACTTCCTCCTATAAGTGAACAGTTTGTCTACACTGCTTCAGAAAAACTAGACGTTACTAGCGGTTTGATACAAATAGACCAGCGAGGACACCATCACAATCATCGTAAGGTGTTAACCGAAGACGTTGTCAAAAGTCTTTGTGGTCATATTAAGTCCATTCAACCCGTAGAATCTCATTATAGACGAAGTGATACTCTTTATTTGGGTAGCTATTTAAATACCCATCGCTTATTTGATTTATACAAGGAATTGTTTGGCGAACAGGTATACCCCTCTGTAGCTAATATCTAATGAAAGACAATATCATGATACTGTTAACGAACATTTCGGATTGAGTTTTTACCTTTCCAAAAAGGACCAGTGTGATAAATGCCACATTTATAAAAACAAATCTAATCCAACATTATCTGGCGTGAAAGAAAGTGAATGTAAGCGATAATGATCGCAATTCTGATTTTGATCATGCTTAATTCAGAAAATAATTAGTTGAATTACAGAAAGATATTACTACAATTATTTTTATCTTTTTTTTTATTATTTTACCGGGCTATTACTTATTAAGTATTATTTTTTGTGCCATTCAGAAATGAGTCTGTTAATTTTATGTTACCCATAAATATTTAATAAGAGTTGATACTTTTGCCTTTACGTACTAATAACTTTCAAAAATTATAAATAGTTACTGACTGCACAATTTCTCTTACATCATGAAGGTTATTAGTTTATATTGTATTTTATGGTTACTAGAAGGTTTTTATGTTTTATTAAAATTTGCGTTTTGTTGATGGATCTTACAAGGGTTAATAATTATTGCATGATTTATTTAGACTTTATGGTGCCTAAAAATAATTACAATAAGGTACTACTTTTTGAATTTGTATCACAAATAACGATTTTTTTATCAATAAAATATGGTAGTGTGATTCTATTAATAATAATTTCATGCTTTTTCGTTCCCTTATTTCCTAAAAATACTCCTGAATATTTTTATTATAATTAGGTTAACAAACTTCCATCATCATCATCTTTGGCTCGACAATCCTCTGTGGATCTTGGCCTACTCTAAGATTCGTCGGTTAATAAACTTACGACATTATTATTTAAAATTTTAACGCATAGAATAATGTTATAATTAAAAATATTATATTATCTACTACAGTGGACTCGCGATTATCCGAGCTAATTGGGACCGCGCATACAGAAAAACTCTGATAATGCGGATCGGGTATTTGCTTAAAATAAACGATAAATTCAAAAGTTATGACGTATGTAATTAGTTTATTATGTACACTTGAAGTATGTAAACCTTTATACAGAGTACATAGTTAAAATATATAGACAGGAAAATATTTTCGTACTCGATCATCTCCATGTTTTAAAAAAGTCTTTGATATAGATTTGTGTGTCAACTTCTGGCTTGGTTTTGATACTGCGATGTTGCGCCAACGCTGAAGATGACGGACATCGGTAGGATTTGACTCTCCCTGTTGTTCAATTTAGACGAGGGCAGCTCAAATCGCCTTCAATCTTTCGAAGTGAGATATTTTCTCGAATATTTCATCTGTGTCATCATCAGTGACATTGTGTGGATCGATAACCATATATGCGATTGTATCATCAGTCAGTTCCATTTACTGATCTTGCATAATCCACTCGTTCACGTTATCATTTATCGGCAGTTCCATTGGTAACTGATTAGCGAGGTCTACTATTTCAGCAATATAGTTATTGTTAACTTTTCCATCACTTTTCGCATCAATTTATAAAAGCTTTCGCCATGACTTTTGCAAACTTGTTACTCTCACATCATCCCAGGTCAACAACACTTGGAGAAGCCTTCGACGAAAGTTGCGTTTCATAGCCGTTAAACCTCCTTGCTTCATGAGAGAAATGACGTTTGGTGACAAGAAAATAGCTTTAATGTGACCACTAGATAACAAACTTGCCGCTGGATGAGATGGCACCTTGTCAAAAAGAAGAATAGCTTTTCTTGGTAGGTTTTTCTTTTTTAAGTAGGCCTCAACTCAACAACGTAAACGAACTCCTCAAAAAACCCATCTTTAAAAATTTGGCAATCCCTCCACGCACTACGTTGATTCCTGTACATTGTGGGTAGGTAGTTTACTTGAATATTTTTAAAAGCCCTGGGATGCTTCGATTTTACAATAAGTAGAAGTTTTAATTTTAAGGATCTAGAAGAGTTGATACACATGAAAAGATTTGCTCGTTCTTTGATTGTTTTGTATCAAGGCGTAGTTTTTTCACTTTGGGCTGCCAGTGTTTTGGGTGGAAGCATTTTAAAATTGAGTCCCGTTTCGGCACAATTGAAGATTTGGTCTGACGTGAATCTATGCTCTAAAATGAGATTTCTCAATTTTAAATTAAACAGCTTAATTTCAGATAAATAGGCCGAAAGATTTTACCCGAAATGTTCAGTTGTCGGATGCCATATCTCTTCTTCCATCTCTTGAGCCAACCATCACTTTAACCGCAGTAAAATTTTCCTCGACATCCTTAAACCGTTTGTGAAACTCAACAGTCTTAGCTTGAAGCATTGGGGCCACTATTTGGACTTCCCACCCATCGAAGATTAGAAAACCATAAAAATAAGGCTTCAGAAGTCTGTTGGTATTCTCTTTTCATCAAAGTTTTTCTCAACAAATCACTTCCACCACTCATACTTGTATTAACCCATTGTTCAATATCTTTTTTACGTCTCCAATCCCACAGTCACTTCTCCAACACCTAGGTCAGCAGCAACCTTCTTTACTGACTCACCCTTATCCAAGCGTTTTATAACACTTAACTTTGTTTCTAAAGAAATCACAACACGTTTACGTTTTAAACTCATATTGCACTTAAAGTTACGTAGAAACTACACAAAAAATACATAAATGAACTTGTAAGAGCTTACATTGATTAATTCGTGTACACTCCAATTATGAAATTGGCTGGACCCTGGTCTTCCTGGCCTTTCGGCATACGACCGTAAGCGTTACCTCTGCCCCTACGAGTCCGACACCAACTAAGGTGGCACGATGCCGCAGCATCGTGGGGCTCCACCTTACCCGTAGTACCTGTGTTACATCACACGTCCGGAGCTCCCTCCCCCCCGGGGCCGGAGGTGACGTAGGCGGAGGAATTCCGCCTCGCATGTAGACAGGTCACCGCCAAGGAATCGCTCCTCTACCACTCGTAAATCATTCCAGGTGGGTACGTGCCGGGTCATCACACCACCCTCGGTAGTGTAAGGCGGGAGGTATTTACGGTCCCAGCCCGTTCAACCTCACCTGGCTCTTGTGGAAATGAGAGTAGAGTGATCCCACGAGATGCTCGTCTCGGATACTAGGAATGTAGGCCGGTGGCCGAGATGGCTATATGCATCTCGAGTGCGTCTCTACAAACCCGACACCTTGAACGACGGCTCTCTACTTCTCATTGTCATTGCCTACCCATTAGTCGCTTCTTACGACAGGCAGGGTCTTCTGGCCTCGGCCGTTTCTTATCTCCGCGAGCCGCACGGAGAGTAAGATCTTACAGTGGGACGAACTCCGACGAACCGAACAGCTAGCCGGGTGGGGAATTGGGTCGGGAGGCGGCCAGTAGAAGCATAGTGGCTAGAACAATATCTAGTGATTATTACACAATTTGTTCTTTTCAATTATTACCATCGGTTAATCTGTAAGCTCGGTTAATCAGGACTCGGATAATCGCGAGTCTACTGTACTTACAAAAATGATTTACTATTTTTTACAAAGAAGAATATAGTATCTATGACATACGGCAAATAGTTTTGTATAGTGTCCAACATAATTTATAGTAAGTGTGACATACTATAATTTACTTTTTATGTTGGTCAACATAAAATATCGTAAGTGGTTTCTCTCGAAAAGAAGAAACAATGTTAATTAAAGTACTACACAGGATTATTACCCATTACCTATTTCATATTTAATATGCAAATTTTCAAATATATTGGTTGTTCCCTCACTGAACAGTCATCAATAAACAATGAGCGAACCTTTAAACATATGTACTGTAAAGTTGACTGAATGCACTTACGATACTATACATAGGAGGTGTCGATCTGTCCAATAATTTCTTCCTTTTATTTACACTTATTACTTATATCATAATTACTTAACAGTTTTATGATTATAATTGAGCTTTTGAAAGCAAAATGTATGGAGATCAAACCACTGCTTTGTTAGAAGTTCTGTAAATAATGAAATATCTATTTTTTTAAAATGATTTCTTTATTATATTTTCTTATATTAAAATTATACAAAATGTACATATTTATGTTTAAAGATTAGACTTTACTGTTATTAAATAGGTGTGAAATCTGTTTTTATGTGTGTAAATTAGCTAGTAGCTCTGTCAGTTGTTTTAAAATTAATATATACATATGTATATTTTTTATCTAGATGTTAAAAAAACATGTGTAAAAAAATCAAACTGAGAATGATGGTTGAAAAGAAAGTTGAAAAATAAAATTTATATTTACAATATTGTATATAATTATCATCTTACAAACCTATTACTTAAGAGTAGTAGCTAAGAACTGAACAAATAATTTAGGTATTTTATCAGGATCAGGTGCATGCATTTTTGAATAAGTAATGTATTGTCTTCTAGAGTTCATTATCTGCTGTATACTCATATTAGATATATCAATGTTTAAATCATCGAATCCAGTCACTGTAATTATACCATTATTTCCATTTTTCTTCTCTTTTACTAACTCATCTACAATTTTTTTTGTTACTTGATCTAAATCATATAAAAAGTTTGTAGATTTCAGAGGAGGATTCTGGGTAGACATATTTGGTTTTGGAGCCTTTTTCTTAAATAAGCTAGCATAAATGTTATCTAAATCCAAATCTTGATTAGGGAAAATTGTGAATAAAGGAGCATCCCATCTGTTATTACCATTAGGATCTTCATACCTCATAACAAGGGCATCAAAGGTTTCTCTATTGTACTTTTCAACGTCACTTGTGCGGTTTTCATTAAATTGCCAAGCCTCTTCTCGATTTATTTCAGTGTGAACTGTACATTGAGTACATTTATTTGCTTTGGTTCCACAGAAAAGTTCATATCTATATCCTTTTATATAATTCAAGGCATCCAAAATTACAATATTATTAGCGGACACTAATTTTAAAACTTCAGATTTCAAAAGTCCTCTAATATGCTTTTCTTTGTCTTTATCGTCATAAAAGGAGTTCTTTTCAAAACCAGCATTCACAATATGGTCTAATTCACTAATAATGCGAACCTCTTTACCTTGTTCTTCAAAGAATTTTCGTAATTCTTGACTTCTTGTAGTTTTGCCACTGCTGGGAACACCTGTAATTACTATTAAAGGCATTTTTTTTCTTATTTTAATTTATAAACTAAAAGTTATAAACAAATATTAAGGTTAGACAATTCTTCTTTTTGCGTCATTTGTGTGAAGTGGGAATTTGACAATGTTCATATTAAGTGAAGAAGATACCATAGGCGTAGGTCTTTTAACCCTGGAATAACAAAGGTGAACGAACGTTATATTATAATAATATACGGATAAATTTTCTTTGACTCTAGATTTTTCCAAATAAACTTTTGATATTTATGTTTTCTTCATATTTAGTTCGAGATTCCGGTTGTGTATTATTTTCAAAATAAATTCCAGTTTATATCACATCAAATATATTCTATGATTCCGTATATTACAACTTTGTTATTCCTTTTCCATTTTTCTGCCTAAAGGCTGTATGACACTATGTATTTTCTTGTATCGTTTCTGATATAGAAAGTTATTTATGTGTTAAAATGAAATTTTAATATCTATAAAAATAGAACTGCAGTAACTGAGAACCCTATACCAGATGCTACTCATTATTTTTTAAAATACTGTGGGTAAATGAAAGTGAAATGTGGTGCAAAAATGAAAGAAATAAAATGTCCCAATATTAAAACTAAATTGGAAACCACAATTTTTGAAGATATTCAACAGGCTGTAATAGAAGACAGAAATAATAAATAATTTGGTTGTATTAATTTATTTGTTTTTTTTTTACAAATTACAAAAAAATATGTATATTCATACACATTCAAACACATATGTTATATGTGTTTGAATGGCATGCTCTTGAAATTCTACTCTCTTATTTGGAGATATAAAATAATCTTTAAACTCATCACGAATTTTTAGAGCGGTTATTATTGTTTTTAGTAATACATCTCCTCCTTCTTTCAGTAGTTAATAGTAGTATAATATGAATTAAAAAAAATTGAAATTAAAGAAAAACTGGAATTAAAAAATCTTGGATCTAATTGGTCGTTACAAGATTTTTTTAAATATGCATTTTTAAACACATATTCAGATTTTTATCAACAATTTTGGAATACATAATAATTTGAAAACTATATAAGCAAAATACTGAATTTTGGGCTTTTCCCATTGTTTATAAAAAACAAAGCCTATCTGAATGTATCTTTTTATGTATTTATCATCAGAAAGACCTCCCCAATCATTGAAAGCTTTCAGATGCTAATCTTTCTTACGGAAAATATTTATTTTTATCTCTGTAGCCTTTTCTAATAATATCAAACGCAATAATCAGTCAGCTTCACAGCCGGTAAGAATATGGCCATATATGTCACATGTTTTTCTCACCTGGTGGTATAAAAAAATCAAATCGACTATCTACTTATTACAATTGGCCAAGAAAAAAATCAAAATTTCCAGTACTGTAGCTATTAACAGTAGCTTCTTAACGAATACAAATGTGACTTTAAAACTGGTCGATTAACAGACCAGATTTTTTTTATTACGGTAAACTTTAGAAAAAACCGATTAATTTTTAAGTCGATGCCTTTCATCTCTTAATTGATTTTAAATCAGCTTATGATGGCGTGCTAAAAATTAAACTGGGTAAAGCTATCATGAATACAATATCTCCGATAAAAGAATCAGACTAATGAGAGCTACAATGTATAAAGTTATCTGTAAAGTATAAATACGTGGTAAACGTTCACAAACTTTCGAGGCATGGGACTGCTACAAAGATATTGGCGTGTCTTCTTTTTAACACATTTTTGAAGAAAGCGTTAAGAAACGCCTAATTAAACAAAAGATGAAAATCTTTTCTATAGATGTAGACGTAGAAGTAGGCGAAAATTTTAGATTGAAGGAATCGATGAGGAAGGCTTTGGAAGGCCGATGCCATACTTTAGAGATGCATCACCAGTGATGCTGATGATACGAATAAAAGTCCTAGATACGAACGCAATCATTTAAAATAGAGAAATAAATAAAGATTAATGTTCTTTGATCTTGAAAAATGATATAAGACTACATCGAAAAATTCTGTGGTGAGCACTAAATAAGAAAAAAATTTTCTTGACTTGACTACGATTGAATATCAGGTTGGCGTTCAATGATCTGCGACTGTCTAGAGAATTCAAGTATGCACGTGTGGCAGGTCGAGATTCAAGACAGTTCGAGAAAGTTAAAACGATTGTTTAGGAAATCAAGAAATCAAGATAGAACCTTCTACCAGCCCATGTATCCCACCGGTGGTCCTGGTCTAGAAGAAAGACGGAACTACGAGGTTATGTGTGGACTACCGTTTAAGTAAACAATGTTACCAAGAAAGATAGTTATCCTCTGTCTAGGATCGACGAAACATTGGATACATCGGCTGGAAGTAAGTTGTTTTCTACTTTAGATTGAATACTGGCAGGTAGAAATGGGCATATTAGATATAGAGTCTTCACCACAGAATCTAGATTGTAGCGATTCAACTTTATGCTATTTGGACTATGTAATACTCTGCGACATTTAAAAACTGTATGAAAAAAGAATGAAGGGAGGATTATCTTGGAAAATGTGTCTGGTGTATTTAGACGTCATAATCGTCTTTGGGGAGACTTTTGAAGATCATTTGAAGAATTTAGATGTTTTTACTCGACTTAAAGCTGCCCGATTGATGTTAAGAAGTGCCCAGCTATTTCAAAGTAAAGCCAATTATCTGGGTCATATAGTTAGCAAAGAAGGAGTGACCGTGAAGAAGGAAAACATCTATTCCATTAAGGAGTGGCCAAAACCGACTGAAAAACATGAAGTGAGAAGTTTTCTTGGGCTGTGTATTTACTATCGAAGGTTTATTAATAAGTTTTCAGATATCGCCAAGTCATTACCGCGACTTACAGAGGGAGTCAGAGATTACTGCTGCGATGGAGACTGCCAAACTGCCTTTAAAACTTTTCAAAAGCATTTATTCATAGCAACAAAATTAGGGTAATTACTGTGAGTAGGAGAATTTATCTGAGATACAGAATTAAGTAATGTGGGGATTGGAGGAGTGTTACTTCAAATTCAATGAGGAAAGGAACGAGACAGGAAATCTAAACGTACTTTCAACTGAAATTGTGGTTAATTTTCATTAAAGATAATAAATAACATTAAATGTCACAAGAAAAAAGTCTTGAACAATATTAGGAAATTCATTGTTTTTCAATCATTTCTCGAATTTTTGTATGACTATATATACCATAACGAAATTCGATGATACATTTTGTTATGACTAATAAATGTAAAAAATACGTCTCCAGAATGCGCTTTTTTGTTTAAGCTTTAATTCAGTAAACTTATTCTTCGCAGTTGATCGCTATAAAGCTAAAGATGTACCATGGTGTTCAACAAAACTTTTAAAACATTTCCATGACTCAAAGTTCTGCCTGTCATGTTTCAGCATAACAAACACTCCTGTAATGAGAATGGAAGCATTTTAAAGGGTAGATTATTTTTTAATATCTCAACACATTCATTTTATAAATAATATTTTTTATTATAAACCTGGCGAGGATTACTTCGATAGTATATTTGCCTTTATCATCGCGAATTTCGTCTCTTAAGGAATTGGTGATATCAGCAAAGTGATTTATAACTCAGGGCGGTGAGTTCAAATCCGGCTGAGATGAGAATTTTTATATAAAAATCTCTTCTTTGTTAGATCGGTACTCAATCGAGGTACCGCGGTCGTTTAGATATAATAAGCGATTTTTTATAAAGACAATAAAGTTGACTATATTTAGTACCAAGTACTCAACACACACTACAATGTACATACTGTACCAAAAGCCAATTGGCTGCAGTACGACAAAAATATTTTTGAATTTCAAATAAACAATGGTCGTTGGCTTTCTATAATGATCGTAAAGACCATGTTTTATGATCCTGAAATCTCTTTTGTCCCAACCAGGAAATCTGAAGATTGATTTGTTCCGTAACATCAATATCGTTCCATGGATCTAAAGGGTTGGCCAAAATCCCAGGGGGTAAGGTCCACTAGGCCTCCCATATGAACGCCCATGTTTTTATATCCACAAGGATTACACTACAAGTACACTTTGAATTTGAAGTTTGATCAAAGTTTGTTTTGTACATTTTTACTCTAATCTTCTCCCTTACGATTTTTAAAGATTATTCTAAACTTCTATTTTCTCTATAGTCTCATCAATATCTGTATCTCAGTCAAAAATATAATATGAATAATGAGTTGACTATATAATTTTTAAGATAAAGGCACATCAATGATATATGTCATCTTTTGCTCCGCCTATCTCAATCTCAGCTGAATTTGACATGGTTACTACTGACGTGTGACAAATGTTTGTTTTTAGTTTGTTTAGATTAAAGGAATAATTTCGAGAAATTGACATTATCAAATTAGATAAGGTCTATCAGTATATTTAGGTATATTCTGGTGTTTTGTAAATTCCAGTGTATAAGCACTAAAATGTCTTTAGAAAGTAAATATAACCTTAAAAGTCCTGGTAAGTTTAACATAATGTTGGTTTTAATTACTTTGTCCTTAAAATGTTATTTGTAGGTGTAAAACGTTTAATGAGAGAAGCAATAGAATTAGCTAATCCCACAGAAGAGTATTTTGCATGTCCTTTAGAAGATAATCTGTTTGAGTGGCATTTTACAGTAAGGGGCCCTCCAGGAACAGAATTTGAAGGTGGATTCTATCATGGAAGAATTTTACTGCCCTCACAATATCCTATGCAACCTCCCAACATTATTTTGTTGACAGTATGTTTCCATCCTTTGCTATGAAAAATATTGCTGATTTTCAATTTTTTGTTTAAATCAGTTGACCTGGCCTTTTTGTATCCACTGTCTGTGGATTGAAAATAAATTATCAATCTAAACTGATAAAAATTATAGAGATCATAATTATGAATAATAAATAAGTTATAATACCAGACAATAGCTGATAACATGTTTGAAGTATTATTTTTAATATTCATTAAATTATTACTGTAACAGTTTGATCTTAAACGTAAAATTTTTTATTGCTACCAACTTGAAATGTATGGTGATGGATTCTGCTGCAGTTGCTTATTACTGTTACTATTGGGTGGCCAAAATTATATTATTCTCTATTTTCCATTTAAAAAGAGGATTTTTTTTCACAAAGATATCTAGTAATGTTGGTATGAAAGTTTTATTACATATACATACATACAATAATACTTATTGATATTGACTGGAAGTAGTAACCTAATTGGCACAATTTAAATCATTTGATCATTTAAATTGATGCATATACAAAAAATATTTCTTTTATGAAAATATTTAGTCTAGTAAGATATCCAAATAATCATGGAAAATCAAGTACCAAGTTATATCATTTGCAGCAAACATTTTTACTATTTTTGTACAAATATTTCTAAATTGTGAGAGATTAGGTAACTAGGTGAAATTTGGTTATGTTAGTTTGGGTCAGATTATGTGTAATATGGACCTGTTCCCCCAGTGCAACAGAGAAAAAAGATGCAAAGCAGTCCCCACATCTCTTTCTAATGAGCGGGTTTTATTGGCCACATGACGTCACTACCAATCACATTTGTTACATCAAACATGTAAGTTATATGTAAGTTGCTACTTCCTTGTGTTTGGTACCGGGAAGATCCTGTGATCAATAAACCCCACCCATTTTGCCCCGCCCCAGCTGCTTGCATTTTTTTCTCTGTTGCATTGGGGGAATTGGGTCTATATTGCAGCAGTCAGTGTAGGTATTATATGTTTATGGTTAGACATGCTAGTGAGATTAGGTAGTTTGTTAGTTAGATCTAATCTAGATCTCTTTTCCATTAAGATTTATTAGAAACGTCATTTCATTGTGAGATTGGAAAAATTGGAAACAAACCACATGTGGTTGTGTTTGTAGAATAAAATGATCTACATTTTTATCATTAAATCAAAATGGTTCGCTATAATTTGAATATAATCAGACTGAGCAGTTTGGTCTTGTAAAATGATAGTCGTTCTCACTTAAGGCGATAAGTTATACTTAATAGTCTATTGGAAAATGAGAAGACAAATTTCGTCAGAACACATGCATGTCAGGCCCCAATAACTTGTTTATGTTGGGAATTTGCAATATGAATAGAGTTATTTTACAAATTAATTCATAACATTAATTTAACTCCTGTTTAAATTCATCTCATGATAATTTTAGGCCGCCCTAAAAATGTTTCTATTAGTTTTAAGTGACTTCAATGACAACTAATCTGAGTTTATTAAATAATCTGAAATAGAGTTTATAATGAAGTGTTATATAAATAGCATGAGTTGTTTGGTATATTTAGAAATACAAAAACCTAAAAAAAATTACAGACTGTAATAGTTCATTATCTTTTCTTTCAAAATGTTTTTAGCCAAATGGAAGATTTGAGGTTAACAAGAAAATATGTTTATCAATATCAGGACACCATCCTGAAAGTTGGCAGCCTTCTTGGTCAATACGTACTGCTCTTCTGGCACTAATAGCTTTTATGCCCACTCCAGCATCTGGAACAATTGGTTCTTTGGATTACACAGCAGAAGAGAGACAAGTGTTAGCAAAAAAGACAAAGAATTGGGAATGTTCAACATGTGGTAAGATATCAGAAAAGTTATCTACAGGAGGGCATGTACTTAGTCCAAAATTGACACAGGAAGAAAGTACCTTAATAAAGCAGATAGCATTGAAGGTAATGTATTCATGTACTTTTAAAAACTGATTTTGCTTGTGATGATTAAAATGATTATGATGAAATAAAGCATATTCATGTTTTAAACGATGATGAAATTATGATCATGATTTTGCTTTTTATTCATATTATATATTCTTATATACTTAAGGACCTTATGGTTTACTAAAAGTATTTACGTATAAGTATTCTTTTTCATTGTTTTCTGTTTGCTGCTTTATTTTTCTATTTTGGGATTTTAAGGTCTTCTATGTCTTTTTACCTTTCTTCTTCTTTCCTCCTATTCCTCTGGTTAGTATTCTTTTGGGTAGTCTCGTGTTTGGCTTCCTTTGGATATGTGTCAACTATCTTAACCTTTTTATGATCCCTATGATATTGGATTCTCCATACATCTCTTTTAGTTCTATATTGGTCTTTTTATCCACATTCCATATGTTTCTTCGATAGTTCCATTTTCTGCAATATTTGCCACACTGAACATTTGACTTATGCAGATCAGTGTTGCCAAAACTTTCGAGGTATGTGTTTTTATTAGACTGCTGATGTACGAGTGATTCTAATCAGAGGTGTATTCAGCACTGTGTAGATGTAGTTAACTTAATTTCTCTAATAAGCGGATACGTGAATATGGAATAATGCATTATAAATACTTATTTCTTTAATAGATAGAAATAGGTATGTAATTATTATAGGTCTGAAAAAAATAAACTTTTACTATTGTGTAACATTACACGTTTATTATCATTATCTTTGGCTCGACAATCTTCTGTGGATCATAGCCTGCTCTAAGATTAGTCGTCATTTTGTTTGGTTTCTGGCAACTGTTGTCATCTTCTGATCTCTAGTATCTCTAAGTCGGTCTTAACTCCATCTGACCACCTAATTTGCGGTCGGCATCTGCTTCTTCTTCCTATAGGTGTTCCTGTCATTAACTTTTTAGCAATCATGTTGTCAGGCATTCATATTATATGTCCAGCCCATCAAAGCCGCTGTGTTTTAATGAACCTTACGACATCTGGTTCATTAAAGAGTTGGTTTAATTTCAAAATTAAATCTTTGGCGTCATTGCCTTTGATCGTTTATAGCTCCAAATATTTTGCGGAGTATCTTACGCTCTAATATTCCCAGAAGTATATCATCCTTCTGCGTGAAGAGTCCATATTTCCGCTCCGTATTTGAGGATCGCCCTCAGTAGTGTTTTGTATATAATAATTTCAGTTTTTCTTTGGATATTTCTTGAGTGGAATTGTTTTTGGAGTCCATAATATGTCCTATTTATAAGGTTTATTTGTCTTTTAATTTCTTCGCTTGCTTTATTATTAGTAGTCACTAGCGAGCCAGGGTATGTGAAACTGTCAACACGTTCAAAGATTCTTCTTAACGTGCCCTATTAAGTCCCCTTGACGTTGGCGATTAACATGGCGAAACTGTCTCTGTCTCGAGCTATTCTAAAGAGTTGCTCAGCTTTCCTTATTCCTGTCCACTCCCTGATATTCTTCAACCAAGAGGCCTGCTTTCTACCAATTCCTCTGCTTCCTTCGATTTTACCCATCATAATAAGTTGAAGGTTTGACGTTCAAAGATATGACTTCCAAATGTTGTTTCCCGTTCCTCATTTGCTATAGGATCCTTAGTAACTAACATGTACTTGGTATTCGTTGATGACTAGACCGACCTGTTTTGCCGCCGTTTCCAATTCTAGGAAATATTGCTCAACATCTCGGTTGCTACGCTGTATTATGTCAATTTCATCAGCGTATGCTAAGATTTGTATCGATCTATTGTAAATAGTACCGCCGTCTCTAATTCGTGTGTCTGATTTTTATTAATGCTTTAAATAAGATTTAACTAAAAGATAAAAAACAAGTGCAATTTTTATTTGATTTGCATGTAAATAATAACAACAATTACTTACATAAAAATGTTTCCTTGTATATAACATGCATTCCCGTTAAAAAGGATGTTATATTATTTAAAATTTTTCGTACTATTACTTACCTAATTTTTACTTTTTACTGGACCATCACTTACATACTTTCAAATTTTTCACTTTGTGTCCGCCGATTTTCACACTATCACATAATTTACTCATTGCATATTAACATCATCCTCATCTTCTCTATCATCGCTATTACTGTCAACCGTTACATTTATTACCACAGACTCAATATCGTCTATCAACCAGTCGATAACCCAAAAGTTTTGTTCTTCCTTAATAGCAAGTTTACAATAGTTTTTCCAGTAATTCATGTCCATGTTTGTCATTTCTATGATTAGTTTCTGGTATCCTATTTTGACATTTTTTCATTATGCCTCTCTGTTATAGCCTTGCTTCTAATTTCTTTCTATATAATTCTTTCTATATCGATATATTTTGATATCGATGACAATCAAAAAATAAATCCATGTGACGAATATAAATACCTGGGCGTCATCTTCGACCGTAGTGGAAAAGACGAACGAGAAATTGAACATAGAATTGTACAAGCACGAAGAGCTATAGCATATTTGAACGGAGTTCTATGGAGTAAAGAAATATCAAAGAAAAGAAAATGGAACATCTATGAGACAATGGTTAAAACTAGCCTACTTTTATGGAGCTGAGACATGGAGAATAACCGAGAAATATTAGAAAAAGGTCGAAGCCACGGAAATGGATGCCATCAGAAGATCGATGAGAATATCAAGAGCCGACAGAATACAGAATGAAGTGATAAAACAACAAATGGGTATAGAGGGCACTACAGTTAAGGATATTGAGAGAAAACAGCTCATATGGTATGGGCATGTGAGCCGAATGGGGGACGAAAGATTGCCTAAAAAAAACGATGATGTGGCAACCCCCAGAGAAGAGGAAACGAGGAAGACCACCACAGAGCTGGAACCTGGGAGTTAGGAAAGCGATTAGCGCTCGAAATCTGGACGAAGACCTAACTCAAGACAGAATACAGTGGAGTTTGGGAGTCGTACAACGTCGTATGACGTTATAAAACCGAATATATATATATATATATATTATATATATATATATATATATATAATTCTTTCTTATTTTGCTCCATTTACATTTACTGAGTCTTGTAGTTCTTTTTCCATAAAATTCTCCATAACTTCTGACAATACTTTTTGACACTTGTATCTATTTTTAATCCTTGTATTATTACATTTTTCCTCTTTCTTTCTCCAATTGTTTTCGTTTGCTGTGTTAATTTCCTTTTCTAATTGATCTATTTGTTTTATAGCTTTTTCGTTTGTTTTCTGCAGCTTTCTTATTTCATTTTTGTAGTCGCTTTGTTGATCTTTTAGTTGTTTAATTTCTTCTTTAGTTGTGTGATTTCGTCTCCGAATCTATATTATTTTTTATGGCTTTTATATCTATTGCTAATTACCTCATCATTTTCATCATTTGGTCTATTCCACTTGTGTTTTTATATCTCTTTTTGTGGTGTTCTCGGTGTGTTTTTTTATCTTTTGCTGTAGTATTCTTCTTCTTCTCTTCTCTTTTTCCCTTCATCAGTTAGGTCATCACCTGAATCCATTGTTCTTTATTACTAGTAATTTCCTGTACTAGAGTTATATAGAATAGAAATTATTTTATAGATCTATATTATTTTTTTTATGGCTTTTATATCTATTGCTAATTACCTCATCATTTTTATCATTTGATCTATTCCACTTGTGTTTTTTATATGTCTTTTTGCGGTGTTCTTGGTGATGTTTTTTGATCTTTTGCTGTAGTATTCCTCTTCTTCTCTTCTTCTTTTCCCTTCATCAGTTAGCTCATCATCTGAATCACTTGTTCTTTATTCCTAGTAATTTCCTGTGCTAATTTATTATGAAAAATTAATATCGAAGACGCAATACTAAAATTAGATAACAAAATCCTGGAAAGGGTGGAACACTTTAGATATCTGGGTAGTTGGATTGATTGCAAGGTTGAAAGTGACGAGCAAATTTCGACCAGAATAGAACTTGCATGAAAAAGCTTTATTAATTGGCGTTCTGTTTTGTGTAGTAGAAGTCTGTCATTGACCACACGTCTAAGAGTATTGAATTGCTACGTCTGGTCCGCTCTGTTCTATGGATGTGAACCTGGGCAACAAAAATAAAAAATCCTAATAAATTAGAAGCGTTCGAATGTGTGCTAGAGATCATGTACAAACAGCGAGAATTGATCAACATCATTAAAATAAGAAAGGTTCAATACTTCGGTCATATAATGAGATTACTTAAATATTGCTTACTCCGGTTGATCATTCAGGGCAAAATCAAAGAAAACGCTGGGTTGGAAGAAAACAACTGCCCTGGCTGCGTAACATTAGACAATGGACAGGTCAAACGGTCGAGGAATTTTTTCATCTAGCTGCCAACCGAGAAACATGGCCCACAAAGAAGAAGGTTATTAATCACTGTGTCATGGGCGCAGTTACTCGAAAACTCTACTCAAATCAAATTTCCACCACACCCGTGCTGGATGCGCCCAATTCTCCAGCACTTTTATTCCTGGGTAAAAATCAGAACCCGGCCTTGATGGTATATTATTTTCGGGATTTATAGGCTGTTGTCTAGAATTATTTCTTTCAGATTGTTCATCTGCAACTGCGGTAGACATTATCAATAGCGCTGTGACAGCGGACGTAATTAAGCTCCTGTCGCTCACTGATAAGCTCATCAGCGCGTATTAGCTTATATTATATAATGGCCTTATGTAGAGTGGCTATTCTTCCAATAATAGAATATTTAAATAAAATTTCTGTTTTCATTTTTAAAATTTTTGATATTAGCAAACTTGAATATAGTAGAGAAAAATCATTTTACATTGAATTTTGAACAAGAATAAAATAGTAAAGCTTTAGATTTTCGTTTTCCATTACTCGGTAAGCTGAAGAGTGACTTTTCATTGCTACAAATATTGTGCAATTAGTTCAGAATTACCTGCGATTTGCACTAAAATGTAGCCTTCCTTATCTATAGATTTTTGTTTAGGTCGTCTCATATTA